CGAATGTCGCAGACAACAGAATTTGCAAAGTGTAATAAAGCAAAAAATGGTAAAATTTCTTGGTTTGTATCCGTCGACAACAAATATATTCCATAAAAATTGCTCATTTCTATGACTACATATTGGCTTCAACATTTGTGCTATTGTTAGAATTGTTTTGTGCAGCTATTGCTTTCCACAAGTATATTCTTCAAAAGTAAATTATTTACATACAGGAAACTATTTGTACTTAAGCCTAAACTTCCTGTTCTCTTGTAAAAACTGCTCAATTCTAATTGACTATTGCTCTTGTTACTGCTGTTGCTTTGTGCTCAGGAATGGTAGTCAAAACACACACACAAGAAAAAAAAAAAAAAAAACTGTATATAAACTAAATTATTTAAGATTTATCTGTTTTATACTCCATTGATGATAATACACATTTTTGTGAACCGAGTTCTGCCAGGTATCACCTTTTATACAACGAATTGTGTCAGAAATTCATCTTTCATCACCTCTGAAGCATTTGCAGTCACAGTTGACATTAATTCGCAGTTTTTCTTTTTCAAAGACTCTGCTCGCAACTATATATTTTTCATCTCCCAGAAATTTTATAAATATTGTTTGGGAAATTTATTTTTTGTCTACAGATATAGACTAAAAATTTTGCATTTGGAGGAGTTAAATCTTTGTATTTACTAACCGACTTTGAAACATTTTTATGATATATAGAGGTTAATACTTAATTCCGTTAAACTGTCCATAAAATTTAATAATTTTAACTATTTTGCGTATACATCCGCAATATTAATGCAATCCTATATTACCAATTCTAGTTGCCAAAAAAAATTTAAAAAACACTACGGCCAACAAATTGTACCTAAAACAAGCAGGGAAAAGCACTGACCTCAAAATGTATACAGAGTACCTTTCTATAAAACATTACGGAGGAACAATATGAAAACAATTTGGTAACAACCCGATGTGATATCCACAGATAAGATCAAAAAAATTGCACTGCAATTAATCACTTCATCTCCATTTGCTTCCCAAACCTGGTTACGAAGTCTAAAAACACTGAAACTTGACACGCACTAGCCTGACAACATCATGTGCTTCTACTACAAATTTAGAAACAGTGAAATTTCCTAAGAATCAGTTATTGTTTTATTGGTTGGACATCCACCATTACGAAAAATAAGTTTTTGCAACACCTTTGCTACTTTTTTATTTACAAGTGTTTTTATTTTTTGTTACAATAGTAAATTTACATGAGACTCCGTATCATATTTTTGTAAACCGGTCCAGGGATATAAACGTGAATGTCAAGTCCCTTCAGTATTTCTTCCAGATAATCGTAGAGCGATGTACCCAAAATTTTTGAAAATACCAGATTCTCTTGCTTCAATTCTGCTTCCGTCTGTCTACTAAGAACCCAAAAAACCCACTCGAAGGGTTTTCTTTTTGGGTTCCATCCAACTTACCCATCTAAGAATGTGACGGTAATACCACCGTTTCGCAAACGAAGATTAAAATTTCACTTTTTTTTCTCAAGTTTATCAGATACCAGAAAAATAAAGTTGCAAAGAACAAACGCAGCAAAACCACAAAAAAACAAAGGTATAGTCCTGAACAGTAACACTTTCTATGAAGTGACAAGTGATGGTAAATTATCGCAAAAGACGTCCTCCACGGCATTGTTGTCTGGCGTTCCCATATAGTTCTAACAGTAGGTCGTCCTAACCTCCCCCCCCCCCTCCCCCTGATGACCTGCTACCCAACGCGAC